CCTCCTTGGGCAGACAGAAGAACTCCATGAGTATCCACAATTTTCATTTATCTTCTATTTTGCCATGAAGTATAAAACAAAACCTTCAATTAGGCTGCAGGTGGGTTACATTTTTGCTAATGAGGATGATCATTACTATCCATTTTTATCTAGAGTGTCTTCTTTTATGCATCAATTTTAAACACCTTGGATAAAGACTATAGTTCTGTCTCAATGACCAAGCAGCTACTCAGAGATGCAAGACAATGGTTTGTGGGTCATAAGCATAATAAGTTACAAATACCTGCCAATACATTTAAACTACACGTATGAGAAAAGTAGTGCTGCAATAGTCAGTAAGATAACATGAAACTAGAGAGATGGCTCTTTGTCTTTGCCCAGCAGTAAGGCAATTTTTTAAGTAGCTCTACAGCAGGATGTTTTCCTAATGTTAGGTTGATAATTTGAAAAAACTGTATGTAAACAACCACATTTCACCACGCAACAACCTAGCTTCATCCTTCTCCTAATGTAATTTTGTATTTTTCCAGTTTCTGGAAGATATGTTTCTTTTTAAGATTTGTTTGGTAGAATACAGGAGTAAGAAAACAGGTCTCTACAGATAATGAAAATGCAGTAAGGAGGAAATTAAATATTTGAGATTCCTAATTTTTTTTAAAACGCTTGAAGGGAGAAAGATACAGTAAGGGTAGCCACCAGAAACAATGACTAGGAATCATCACTCCTATTGCATTACACTCAACAATGTCAGTGTAAGAGTAAAGATGCCTATAATCCACTTAGCAGCCTATATAAATTCACACCTGATCAATACGCAGAACACATGACCTGGTAGCTGCAACTTTGGCATTAAGTAATGCGTAACGATGTTTTATCTAGACTGTTTAATATTCCACTATTCCACCCAGACAGCCAGAAAGCCAGTCACTGAAGCCATACCTGGTCTCAGGACATGCTTGCCAAAATAAGAAAAACAAACAAAAACATTGTTAAAGAAAAGCGGGTAAAATTTATTTCGTTCCCTCACCTGTCTATAAAGAGGGCCTGCATCTGCACTTTATACATCTGAACAGAACAAAGCATCAAATTGTCTTTTTGCTTTCATCATGCAATTATCACAGATTATCATTTCCTTCTCTTTTAGCTCACACAATTTATTTACACTTAATTCCCCATTTACATTTAGGTAGCTCTACTCCTACTTCACATTATGCCATACCTTCCTACTATAGAAAGATTTCCTTCATGAACTCTGCACCCAGGGTAATGCATCTACAGGAATCCAAGAACACTTGAGGGAGAGAACACAATCTCTTTTAGCTCAAAAGAGGCCAGAGTCTGCATGTTGTTGTATTTTAATCACCAATTCTTTTGTCTTGATTACCAGAGGTAATGTAGCTTTACCAGCATTTCATTACATACCCTTTTAAAGGGTAGCAACCAAGCTGTTACTGTGGCTTGGGCTGGGCTGGGCTGGCCAATAAACGAACAGATGATCTCTTTTAATCTCTGTCTCCCTTCCCATAAGAGAAGGCAGAGAAAATAAGGGACAGAGACTTAGAGTTGAATAGAAAACTATAACTACTATAATTAATTATTAATTATAAAAAGAAAACATTAAAAAATTGTAATATTAAAAAGATAACATAAAAAAAGAAAATAATGAAATATATTCCCCACCAGCCCTCTCTCCTTGTTGGTGAGAATGAAGTCCAGCATGGCACCTCTCTTCATTGGCTCCTCCATCACTTGGAGAAGGCAGTTACCATTAACACATTCGAGGAACCTCCTGGATCGCTTATGCCCTTCTGTGTTCTCCCTCCAACAGGTATCTGGGTGGCATGAGAACCAGGGCCTGTGAACATGAACATTAATCCTGACCCATAAGCTCTTAGGCAGCTCCTCATTCATCCCCAGGCAGAGCTCCATGGACTCCAGCCAGTCATTGATATAAGAGGGTGACACCCCTTCCTTGTGTTCCCTGCCTGTCCTCCCATTCCAACACTCCAGCCACAGGAGCCATCCCACCACTCCTCTGTGATGCCAGTAAGATCAGAGCCCTGCAGGCATGCACATGTCTCTGACTCCTCTTGTTTATTCCCCATGCTACATGAGTTTGCATAGAGGCATTTAAGTCGGGCCACCGATGAAGCTGACCTACTGGCTGGAGTGGCTGGAATTCCTTTGTGCTGCACTCCAGATGCTCTCCTGCTGACCTGTGACCCTTCTCCAGGCTCTGGGCATCTATTGCTGGCACTGGCACCATGCTGGTAGGAGTGGGGTGGACTGAGGTTCCTCTTACCCAACAACTTTAGTTTAAAGCTCTCTTCACACGCTTGGCAAGCCTCTGACCAAAGGTGCTCTTCCCTTTCTCTGACAGATGGACCCCATCAGTCCCCAGCAGACCTTGTTTCTCAAAGCAAGTCCCATTGCCTAAGCAACCAAACCCTGGCTGTGGCACCAGTCCTGTAACCATTTACTGACACAACAGATTCTACTAGCCCTATTAACTTCCTCCCCTACCCAGGAGAACTCATCTTTTAGATGTGGACTTCCGGCACAGTAGTATCTCAGACATCTCCATCTTCCCTTGGGGAGTACAACATGGGTGTTTGCCTCTTCTCTGTCCCTCCCCTAGAACTACACTGACTGTAATAAGATGACTCCCATGGCAAACTAATTTTTATAGCTATGCAACCATGTGATTAAACTCAATGCAGTCTTTTTTGGGTCATGAGACAGCAATTTGTATTAAAAGCCCTGATGTCTTATGTACTTTAGCAATTCACAAATGCATTACTATAAGATATTTTGATGAGTACACTTCATACAAAAGGTTACTGTCATAAGTTTATTACAAGCTCAGAGACATACAGAATCACATTTCATAAAAATCACATAGCCAGCCAGCGCACAGCTGTCACTCAGGAGAGAGGTCAAGAGGTTACTGGCTGAAGCTCTTTCTTTTGTACATGACAGTAACTGGCTACAAGGTGCCTGGGTGCCCCATGTTTGTCCCTTACTTCAACTCTCTGCTCATTAGGTGCCAACTAGCTGGCAACTATGGGACTTACACAATTTACACATTTCTTGCTCGTTTTCTGGTACGTTGAGACTATTTTGGTAGGCTATAGTGGTTTGGCATCCAAGGGCTCTAACTCTGCTTTGGAATAGCCACGTTTCTTTTACTCAGGGGAAGCTGTGAACAACTGAAGTACATTCTCTTTGCAAATCAATCGGTATTCCTGTTTCAGAGGACAGAGCGACAGAGTTAATCACACTTCGGAATACACTGGCTGTTTTAAAAGTTTAAAAATTAATATGATCCCCAAAGAGAGCAGGCCTTTGTACCTCCTTCGGCCTCTCATGGCCTGGCATGGACAAGGAGCTCCTCAAAAGCTTTCTATAAAGATTTCTATAAAGAGATTTCCTATAAAGTCTGTTAAAATCCTCAATTTGGCAACCTCCTTTTCTGGTTACAGGGTTAAATGGCTTCTTCCAGGACTGGAAAAGTGTTTCATATACCTACCAAAAACCTGTTATCATAACAACAAATCCCACTAACCTTTTAATTTCAGCAAATACTACCATTTCTTTCTCACATTAAAAAAAAAAAAAAAAATCCATGTTTTGTTCTAACACAAAACAAAAATCAGAACCTCATAGGTAATCCTATACAAACACTGAGGACTAAGCTACATAAGAAGGGATGTGTCCCCCTGGACAGTCTCTTCAATTCCCCCACCCAGAGTCACCAAACTCCCACCTCTTTTATCTCAAAGGTTCCAGCATCCTCCGGTGTCCCAGCTCCATAGCTCATGAGACCTCTTGCTCAACTTTTTCTCCTGTGTTGAGTTAAACTGGCACAGCACTCATGAGTGCTACTGCCAGCTTGAGGGAGAGAAGGTAAAGAAAGAACGAGGCATCTCTCTTTCAGCAACAGCAAACTTCACAGAATCACAGAATATTCATGGTTGGAAGGGACCTTTGAGATCATTGAGTCCAACCACAAAAAAAAAACAACCAAAAAAACCCCAACAACAAAAAACCAACCCCACAAACAACCCTCACCCCAAACCAACACATCCACACACAGACAGACAAAATCCAACAATCTCAGGCACTACAGCATGCTCTGAAGTGTCACGTCTACACGTTTCTTAAATCCCTCCAGGGATGGTGACTCCACCACCTCCCTGGGCAGGCTGTTCTAGTGCCTGACCACTCTTTCAGTGAAGTAATTCTGCCTAATATCTAATCTAAACCTCCCCTACTGCAACTTAAGACCATTTCCTCTCGTTCTGTCATTATTCACTTGAGAGAGCAGGCCAACACCCACCTCTCTACAACCTCCTTTCAGGTAGTTGTAGAGGGCAATGAGATCCCCCCTCAGCCTCCTCCAAACTAAACATGCCCAGTTCCTTCAGCCTCTCCTTGTATGACTTGTTCTCCAGACTCCTCACCAGCTTGGTGGCTCTCCTCTGAACACGCTCCAGCAGCTCAATGTCCTTCCTGTAGTGAGGGGCCCAGTACTGAACACAGCACTTGAGGTGAGGCCTCACCAGTGCCAAGTAGAGAGGCACCATCACTGCCCTACTCCTGCTGGTCACGCTGCTCCTGATACAGGCCAGCATGCCATTGGCCTTCTTGGCCACCTGGGCACACTGCTGGCTCATGTTAAGCAGACTGTCCGCCAACTTACATGAATCAACTGAGTCAACCTCACTTAAGGTTCACAAGGGATCCTGGCTCCAGTTTTCTGGACTTTATCCCATACTATTACCTATCTAGGTCAGACCCAGGAGCTGCTCATTTTCCAGCTCAGGCTTTGCAGAGGACATCCTGCTGCATAGCGCTGTGTATCTTTCCATTCTACTTTTCTGGTTGCAATTTTGTGGACCAACTTTCCCTCACCCCTGCGTCCAATATCTCTCTTACAGGTACAAAACATCTTCATGAATTCCAAAGCTTGTGACACTTTCAATTCCTACTGCACTGACCTGCAGAAATCTGCCAGAATCCACCCCTTCTTTGACCTCTCCTCATCAGAAGCAGATTTCACAGTGACTGCAGTTCCCCTTCATGGCGCCTCCAGATCACCTAGACTGAGGAGGTTAGACAAATTATTCCTCATGTCAAGAAGAATGAAATGATAACACACTGAATTTCATATGCTGTGGCCATAAACAAAGGACACCTAGATATGAAGATCTTACCTCCCTATTTCATCATTTCCATTCCCTCAACCTATCACACTCATTTTTAGGTCTTCTTCCTTTCTGTGCAACTCCTGTACCCAAAGGCAGAGCATGAAACAGATTCTTCCCTCTCCTCAAAGCAAAGCAGTTCTTATCTCTGCAAATCTGACCTTAAAATGATCAAGCCTCTTATGACAGAAACTTTATTTGGTATTTTAAAGATCTATAAAGAACACAAAAAAACTTATTGTACAGAGCAGAAAAACCTAATTCCTCACCGCCTTCTCTATTCTTCAGGAGAGACTGAAAAGGTTACAGTGGCCCACAGGGTAGCACGCCAACCTTCCTCAGCTCCTTATATTTAACCTCTCTTTTACTCTGGTTTCTCAACTGCACTCTTTTGTTCAGCTCTTTACGCTTCTATTCTACCTTCTTTTCCAAAATTGTCATGTAGCCCCACCGCTTTTGTTTAAATGCTTGCTCTCGTTTTCTTTCTAATCTTATTTTATAGTAATAAACAGTTTCTAAAAAAGATATACCAAACAAGGTACCAGCAAAAGTAGACAACAAAAATTTTTAAATGACAAATCACAATTAACAAAGCATTTCCACAGCATTTGCAGTCTTATCAACCCAAAGTCATATATAATGAGATGAAATTAATTTTACAGACATATTAGAAAAATGTCTCCTGTACCACCTACAGATACACTTCAAGTCTCTGCTATGTTAAACCTGTTCTTGAGTTTGCAAATACAATTTCACACCCTAAAGCTTTATACAGCGTATAGAATCATAGAATGGTCCAGGCCGGAAGGGACCTCCAAAGGTCATCTAGTCCGACCCCCCTGCAGTCAGCAGGGACACCCCCAACTAGACCACGTTGCCCAGGACCTCGTTGAGCCTCACCTTGAATATCTCCAGGGAAGGGGCCTCAACCACCTCCCTGGGCAACCTGTTCCAGTGCTCCACCACCCTCACAGTAAAGAACCCTCTCCTCATCTCCAGTCTAAATCTGCTCGTCTCCAGTTTAAAGCCATTGCCCCTCATCCTGTCACTACAGGCCTTTGTAAACAGGCTCTCCCCAGCCTTCCTGTAGCCCCCTCAGGTACTGGAAGGCTGCTATTAGGTGTCCCCGGAGCCTCCTCTTCTCCAGGCTGAACAACCCCAGCTCCCTCAGCCTGTCCTCATAGCAGAGGTGCTCCAACCCCCTGATCATCCTCGTGGCCCTCCTCTGGACTCTCTCCATCAGGTCCATGTCCTTCCTATATTGAGGGCTCCAGACCTGCACACAATACTCCAGGTGAGGTCTCACCAGAGCAGAGTAAAGCAGAAGAATCACCTCTCTGGACCTGCTAGCAATGCATCTTTTGATGCAGCCCAGGATGTGATTGGCCTTCTGGGCTGCAAGTGCACACTGCCTGCTCATGTCCAGCTTCTCATCCACCAGCACCCCCAAGTCCCTTTCCTCAGGGCTGCTTTTTAATACCTCACCCCCTAGTCTGTACTGATGACGAGGATTGTTCTGGCTCAGGTGCAGAATGCCGCACTTGTTCTTGTTGAACCTCATGAGGTTCACCTGGGCCCACCTCTCCAGCCTGTCCAGGTCCTTCTGGATGACATCCCATCCCTCTGGTGCATCGACAACACCATGCAGCTTAGTGTCATCTGCAAAGTTGCTGATGGTGCCTTTAATTCCTCTGTCTGTATCATTGATAAAAAGTTAAACAGTATCACAGTATATTATTTGTTCTTACACATCTTAATGATCAATGTTTTTCCTCCTTTGGATCCAGAAAAATAAGTTGAATTCTCCTTGCATTTCAGGATAGTGAAACTAAAAATGATAGCATTTAACCATAAAGTAGGTATGATGATATGCCAACAATCCTGATTGATAATGATCATGTTTACAACACACTCACAGCTCCAGTGATCATGTTGCAAAGAATGAAACACGGGGGCAAGATGATTGACAGTTTCACAGGAAAGCAACAAAGCTCTATTTACGGAACAACTTGTCCTCTTTCTGCCACTGTGAACTCCAAACAGGCTCATATGTGCTAACTTATAATGGAATGATGTAGGGGTGAGTCGAATCACTTTTTAATATACAGGTAGGAAAAACAAAGTGCAAGCAACTTCATCAAGGCAGCACATGTACCCTATAGTTATTTTAACTCATCGAAAAGATATGCCTAATGAAACATGTTTGTAGCAACCACCAACAGGGCTGTTATTCTCAACCCTGCCGGTGGCAGCTGTTTAAATCAGCATGACTAATAAAATCAGCTAAAATTTTTCCACCTATTAAAAACACGTATCTATCCAGTACCGTATTGTTTCTTTTCCTGTATACAGTAGAAGAAAGCTATTAATACAAGGTAATTAAAAATACATTTTCTTTCTTCATCATCAAACACACCTTGAAAAAAACAAACCCAAACCATCATCTCCCCACACACCTCTACTGAAAGAATCAAAACAGGCTCAAACCAAACCCACGATAACTAAAAGTAACAAATGTACAGCATATGAAACTCAATACTAGCAGGCAAAATTCAGTAAGATAAGCATCTCAGTTTAACACAATACACACACTGAGGACCAAATCTGACCATAGCAAGAGATAACATGCAAGTTACTGCCTGTCCGTATGACTACTTATTGCTATTCCTGGTTTTCAAGTCAGTGAGATTAACATACCATGCTTGTTGCAAGATCACTTCTGGCAGCTGAAGGAAAACCATATCGCTGCACCCAAACACTGTTTTTCAAATATTAATGCTTTTATAATCTGCAGTGAGCTCTTCAGTGTAATTACTTTGCTGCGTAATGTATCACACAGCTGAAAAGCTATTTTGTCATTCCAGAATTACTGTCCTAGAAGCCAGCAGCCTGCAATACACGTTTTATTTCTGTACAAACACACATACACACAATTATTTTAGAGCTAGGTTTCTCTGTTGCGTAGTCTCACCCGAAAGGAATATCCAGTGAGCTGACACTACGCACTGTTTCTGAAACAACCTTGCCACCATCTGGACAATCCTGTAACTGCTACCTATTACTGGATGTGGGAGGATGTATCTGAATAAAAACTGTGGAAAAAAAAAAAAACAACCAAACTTTCTCAATACACTTATTTCTGTATCCAAAATAATTAAGTCTTTTGACATTTGGTTTTGTATTCATTAATCAAAATTTAAATTGTGTTTCTTTAGTATCTTCACATTAAACATGTAAAACTAAAATAAGTTTAAGTTTATTAGCTTTCCACCAACACTTGAAAAACTAGCTTGCAAAAGATTTTTAAATGCTCTGCAATATTCTGTACAATTATCTGCAGCAGTTGATAATCAGTTTATGAATGCTTCATACAATCAGAATCAGTTTCTGCCTCTTCCTCAGAGCAACTGACTTCATTTCTGTTAGGGAGAAAGGTAAAATTCAGAGTCAAAAGAAAACCATAACTCTAACCTCCAAAGATACACTTTGGAGAGTAGATGATGTTCCTTCCACTCTATCCTATTCATTATAAAGCATTACAGAAATGTTCCAGTCTAGTCTTCAATATAAAATTTTATTTTATAGCACATTTCGAAGAAAAGTAGAAATTCTGCTGTACGCTTCTGATGCAGAGGAAGGCAACAGGCCACTCTCTAAAACAGAAGACAAGCAGCAATAAAAACAATCACAGAGGACTGAGAAACACATTTAGCTTGACAGTTTCTTTCTTAAAGCTTGTATCATCACAGGCTCAGGCCACATATGCCCCTAGTGCCGAGTTTATGCAACATATAAAAACCTAGGGAATACAGAATGCTTGAGGCTTTTTCCAGCTGCTCCTGGTAAACTGCAGCTCCAAATCAAGTTAAACCCGAGTCTGCTGTTTCCCCATAGGGAACCTTAAAACTTGAGCCATGTTTCTAGCACTGATACATAATCTTTTAAAGAAACTACCCTCTCGTTGCTGATCCACTATTCTTATAGAAAATTGCATATGCTGGTATTTCACAGAGCACTCATTCTAACTCTTAAACATTATAATAAGTGAGAGTACAAAGATATTGAAAAAGTTTAAATATAAGCTGCTCATTAATCAGCCTTTAGAAAAGATGAAAAACACATGCTAGACCTTAAATATTTACTGCCTCTTATCTTCACACATTTTTTAATAAATTGGTTATGAAGAGCCTTTATAAAGTATTTTCAATGTAAAATGGAATCATCTATTTCCTGTAAGATATATTTGGCTTTAATAAATGTATAAACTGTGTGAGGGATTTGTTTTGTAATTAAAAAAATATGAACATTTTAAGTATCACTCCATGTTCTGCAGCAAGAGCAATTCATCATGTAGCAAAGCTATGGCAATGCCCTGACAGTATGTTATATAATAAGAAAAATAAATGCATTACATTGATAAATCTAGTCTGTTTAGTGAAATACTTGTCTGAGATACTGAAATGAGTCATCAATCACCACTACCCAACTGTCTATTCTCATCTGCTATCGCATCCAGTTTCAGGACTGGCAACTGAAGAGTCATCTCAGAGTTAATGAGTTATGCTGGATGTTCCTCTCATGACAAGCATGATACAGTTGTACTGTTTAATCACTGTCATCACTTTAAGGTAATCTTGCAAAAAAATACCACTTGCAAAATGTCATTAAATACAGTCATCTCTTCTTCCAAATGAGCCTACTTTACCATAATGCTGAAGGTTTGACTCGACTGTGAAGCTGATATTATCTTCCCACCTGAAAAAAAGTCTCAACCCCGAGGGTCCAAGAGTGTCCTGGACTCTGGATTGACTGCAGGAGAGAGCAATCCACAACTGAAAGAAAGTAAACATGAATTCTTTACATCATAGGCTCCATGTACTTCTGTTCTAAACCCCTGTGAAGGACCAGGGCAGGCCAAGAAAAAGTTGTCAGTTGGCTTTAACTTCAAGCACAAGAAGACATAGACACTACCTACGCCATTCATTCTTACCTCTAGCTGAAGGTGGGATCTCTCTGCTGGTCCAAAATAAATGCCAGCTTGGTCCTGACAGACCTACCGTGTCCAAGACATGGAAGAGAAAGCAGCAGTTGTCCTGCACTCTCTTTCTTGATAAGCTTACTTGCTTGAGTACAGTCCAAAGGGATAAAGCAGACCAGGCCTGGCACTGCTAGAGCTACTCAGTCCTCCCCAGCTCCAGAGGACAGCAAAGCACAGTGCAGACACACTTTGCATTGCAGTGGAACCTGTACACAACAGCCGAGCGCTTCTACAAGGGGTCCTCAACAATTAATTTTCTTTCCAATGCTGTTCCCTTCATGTACTGCTCCCTATATGACTAGGACACAGGATAAGATATGAACAGTATGTACTGCAGATTTTCCTAATGTGCAACAAACAATGCTCTCCAAAACTTAAAAAGACAGGATTGTTTCCTCAGCACTTTTAAATTCCTGATTTCTTTAAAAACTGAGCTCCAGAAATTTTCTCCATGTGTACATTCTAGTTTCTGTACACTAAAATAAGTTTCCTTCCCAATCCCATACATTTTAATTTCTTCACAAGTTTTAAAAGCCTGCAAGTCCTGATGTGACTCTCCTGAGCCCACGTGAGACCAGGACAGGATGCTCTTCAAAAATGTAGTAAGGAGAGAGCAAGTTAGTTACCACCACCCGAGGCAGTGGGTGTAACCATCTGTGATTACTCCCCCAGCAACAGAATTAACTGACTTACCCTCGGCACATTTATTAGTATTATTATTATTATTGTGTATTACCACAAGGTAATACAAAACTGAGGGAGGACTGGCATACATCCCTGCTCTGGAATAGACCAAACCTAGTTATGCTTGCTCTGCTGACACCACAAGGATTGCCATCCGCAAAAGTAAAAGCACAAATTAGAGTTGAAATAAGTCACCAGTGGGTGGTGAAATTTAACAGATATAGAACCTCCTACATCCAAGTAACCCAAAGTACAAAGGGGTTTTGGCTGCAAGAGGCTGGCAAGGTTCATGGAAGACTATTTCTTAAAACTATAATAAACACTCATGAGGAAGGCTGTTTTGTAAAGAAAGTGGATAATAATCTGTAAATTGGAAATGGAGGGAGAAAATGGGTATCCAAATTAAGAGAATACAGAAATAAAATTTGTAACAGTACTAATACAGTAGATTGTGTACTACAGAAAATTTGTCAGTTGTGTAGACCCATGTACTCTGAAACCTCTAACCATTAAATTATATGTATTTTGTTTAGAAATAGGCATGGTTTATCCCAACTGATCCCCCAGCTGAATCATATGACAGCTGACCTGCCATAAGATGCTCACAGCTACTCCTAGCTTCCTCCTGCATAGTTTGACCTGCAAATGTAATAAAAATACTTTCTTCTTCTTCATCCAAACCACTAATAAAAACTTTGAGCAGCTCTGAACTTCAACAGCCAGCTGGTGGATCCCTCTGGATACTCTCTCCCAGCTGACATGGTAACATTTCTGACTATTCCAAGAACAATTTCCAACCCACAGAGCAAATTCATAAACCACAGTCTTAAATTTTGCACACAAAAAGGTCTAAAAAACATCAAAGCATTGTCCACTCAGAAAACAATTTCCATTAGAACTATCTTGTCAAACCAACAATTTCACATGTTTTTACTCAGCACCTTTTGAATATACTTAGGAGGTAGTACATATTCTTCTACTTTTCCAGCACCCGAGCCAGTTAACCTGATTCATGGAGGTGTTTTGTCTTTTGAGGTCACTGAAAACTCATGATTTCATGATTTTCATGATTGCTATAACTCTTAGCCTTCACCCATATTAGGGAAATTTATACTTTTTAACAGTTGGGGAAGGTACAGACATGAATTGTCCCACACACCTTTTCACTTATTCTCCTTAGACATTCACAGGATGTCTCCTGTCTGTGTTCTGAATTTATTGTAGTCCATTTCCCTCAAGTAGGATGTTTTCATTCTACTTATTTCCCCTCCCTCCTTAACGACTGTTAGGATCTTACATCTCATGGTCAAGGGTGTCTGCTTGTAACAGTGAGTTCTAGCAATTAACATAACACAGAACAAATCAACAGAATAAAAAGGAAAGTTTGAACACATTCATGAAAAAAGTTTCACCATCCATTTCTTCTTAGTGTGGGGAAGTCTTGCTTACTGCTCTCTGAGTTTTTTCACTCTGCTGATGCTGCAGGGTTAGGCTTTAAGCCACAGCTAGCCCACAAAGAAAGCAAGACAAGAATGAGAGAGGAATATACAGTAACAGTGGCACACCAATAACTCAGTAGACCTGCATTGTATCATCTGTATCACTAAAACAGGCTACATGTGCAAGAGCTTTAGGGTTTACAGAGGTGTTTTCCTCACTAACTTCAGACAGAACTGCAACTGCAGAGCATTTAAAAGCCAGCCCTCCCTGCTCAAAACAGTGCAACTCCACCTCTGAAGTGTTACACTCCATTCCTACAGTTCATCTGAAAAAAAAGCTGGGAAACATAAAGGCTACCACAGTATGTTCTTAGATACAACTATTCTTATTCACTACTAACTTTAAAAGCCTCTTATACTGTGCTCCTGCTATGTTCCATAGTTATGTCCCACCTCCCCTGCCCTCTTACTGGCACTATAACTACTGTATAATTAAATTCTGAATACAGAGATCAGAGTTTCAGCAGAGGGCTTTCACTGTGAAAGGCATGCCTGCACAAATTCAAATATCGAGAAAAAGACTGCTAGTATTTCTGATAAAGCAAGTCATTTTCACTGGTGAATAAGGACTGAGACTGCAGCAATCACCATAAGAAATCTGACTGTAGTTTTTACTGTTTCCCATATGCTAAAAGACCCAGCTTTTTGTACACCCCCCAAAGTCACCAAGTCAACAGTGAGATGAGCAAAAGACGAAAGGAAGATGCAGAAAGCCTGGAAGTGCTAGACTGTCATATTAACCCAGAGGAAGAACACACTGCTGACAAAAGCACCTTCACATGTTCTTCCCAACCACTTGCTTGAGCAGACCTGTTTTAAGTCACTACCAGTTGATCATGAAGTTAAGGAGCAAAGCAAGTCAGGGGAACCACTCTAAAGGCAACATAACTCCAGAAGCTACTACTTGTTTCTGAAGGGAACGTATGTACCCCTTCCCTCCTTCCTAAAAGGGGGTCACTGACTTAAGCGACTGCACAGTCTCAGACTGTTTCTCCTTGTACTCTGAAAAATACCAAGCAGAAAGTCTCCATTGCCTGGGGGATGCTCTAGTGGATACAAAACACGTGGAGTACTGCAAGCAGGTAAACAAGCCTGTGCAGGGAGAGGAGACAGGAATGTAAAATACTACAGCACGTGCACCTTCAGGAAAGCTGCCTTTAAAAAATTAGACATAGCTGCACAGTGTATAGCATCTGTAGAGAATGACGTGAGAACACGCTGTAAGAGTGTCCAGGCTCTTGGAACACAGGCAGAAATGGGGAAAACTGCCTTATCCTCAGGAGTGCAGTGAACATACCTAGACGAATTCGTTTAATATCATATGCAGAAGTGCTCTGAATTATCAAGAAGAGTGAATTTAGTTATTGCTGCTCACCTACCTACCTACCAACCACAGGGTGACAGCCACGCTCTGAAGCCTTCTGATGAGCGGATTTAGGCCTTTTTCTTCCATCAGAGCATCAGCCCAAGGAGAATCCGAGCGTATTTCCGAGAGCAGCCACACAGAAGGGGCCCACCCTCCGCCCCCCCCAGCACCTGAGCCCTTTCCTCCACCGAGGAGTCCCTCTTTATCCGCAACGGGGCGGCAGCAGCTGCAGCCGAACCGCTCCGGCTCCCAGGGCGGTCACCCACCAGGCAGGACCAACGCCGGGGGCTCGGTGCTCACCACCCCCGGGTGGTTCCACTTCGGGCCGCCCCCTCGTCCCGGCTGCCTACCTGCGCGGGTCTCGTGCTTGGGCACCCGGTAGTACTTGTTGCCGAACTGGTCGGTGCCCACCAGCTCCTTCTCAGGCCCGAAGAACCGCAGGCGCAGGGCCCGCAGCGCCTGCCAGGGCCGGCCCATCCCAGTAACGCGGGACCGCTACGGCCAAGGTCGCCGCCAACGGAGCCCCGCGACGCCACCACACCGGCTCCCTCCTCCTCCCCCCCCAGCCCGCCCCAAGCGGCGGCGGGCATGCCAGCAACGCCGCTCGCCATTGGTGGAGGCCGGCCTGCGCCGAGCCAATCCCGGCCACCTCTGGCCCAAAATGGCGGAGCGGTGTCGGGTGGCTTCGCGGCCTTGCCATGTTGGGCTTCATTTCGGCCCGACAGGCCGGGCTCGACGATCCAGTGCGGCTGCGCCGGGCCGAGTCCACCCGCAGGTAGCGGGGACCGGAGGGGAACCGGGGCTGGGGCGGAGCTGGCGGGGGCGGGGAGGGGAGAGGCCTGGAGCGGCCGTCTCAGGCCGGCGCAGCGGCAGCGCCCGGCTTCCTCCTACCCGGGGGCCCTCGCCCGCCCCCAGCGG